CTGGTTGTGAAAGTTGTGAGCTGGGTGGGTTTTTTTCGCTGAAAACACTTGTGTTTAGAAATGTGGGTATATAAATAGAAAAAAATAATGGTTTAGAAGTGAGTATGGTTTTCGACTGAGAGGTGGGCTTCAAACCCTTACCCACTTAATGTGGAAGTAGCCCCCCCCCCCCCCAGCTAGCGCGTTTTCCATTCGTACTATTTCAGGAATAATGAAAGTTTTCACTGTTCATCTTCATGTACATCTGACATAATCTCTTATTTCGATAATATCCATATGCACTAATTAAAAACCTAGAGAATATCGGTGCCACAGCAACATAAAATTCGGTAAAATTAACCCCCGGACTTCTGTAATAGTAACAGTACAGAATGATATACACTGATGAGCCAACAACACATGACAATAAAAGTAATTATTACATTCCCAAATAACATTATACACTGGAATTGATGATATTTCTCTGGGACCTCCCCCCCCCCCCACTATCCTATAAATAGCATCGCTCGTTTCCGTAAATGCGTACGCATGACAAGTGTGCCACTGAACTAAAGTTCACGAGATCGAGAAACCTATGCGCATAAATGCTGCGCAGTCATTCAACAACATGGCGACTATTGGTGCTTTGACCTCGATTCTTGGTAGATCCAAAAGTTTTTCTCTTCTACGCCGAAATGGATTAAATTTAAAGGTATGCAACAGATATTCGTTTTATTCCAGTGCCATCACGGTGCAGTTCGTAATATCGGATGCACTCATATATTTTCTGTCGTAAAAACGTAATGTTCCTGGTCACGAAACTGGTTCACCGCACAGATGCTTGGCACATGTGTCTTTATGTATTCAAAGATCAGCCTTGGGTCACGTATATTTTGACGGTATGTATGGTTAGCGACAGATGGGCGTACATATTAACTCTTATCCTGCCAGCCCCGTGTACTCTTGCATTGACGTGACCAGATAAGAGTTAATGCCTGGAAGATGGATTTACCTCGACTCTAGCTAGTAGCTCCAC